GGCCTAACGATGTATCGATACCGATGTTGCGTGTACGAGTATCAACATCTAGGTCGCACATTTTTGGTTCCCATTACTTTATGTATTCTGGAATGAATGTTTAATTTCCAAATATATTTAAGATTCTAACTTTGTAAGTCGCTGCTGAATTCTTTATTTTCTAATACACATTGTATACATCCCTGTCTCTTATACACATCTAGATGTGTATAAGAGACAGACCTGAACGTAACCGTGAAATTATCAATTATATTATGTGAACTTTTCCATCAAGACATCGCATTAATGCTTCATCAATTAATCATTTGGTCGCTTTTGAACGGATATTACTGTATGAATCATCTAATTAATATAAATACTTTGGATACTATATCAGATTATTTGATTAATAATTTAGAATTCAAGTCATTCATTCAGAATCCATTAAATTTTTTCCATACCCGGTTCAGTCAAATTATTTCTATAGCCAATTATTTGAAAGATGAATACTCTCATCCAATTATTTCTCAGTTATTAATCGTCAAAAATGACATCTTAATCTTCATTTATCCGCCCCAACTGGCATCTTGTGTACTTGAACCGTGAACAGCAGACGAAGGCATCTATACAACTGCTAACTATGATAACAATTATGGCTTGGCGAGGAGATTGGAAGCATCTATACACCTGCTAACTATGATAACAATTATGGTTATGGCGAGGAGATTGGAAGCATCTATGCACCTGCTAACTATGATAACAATTATGGTTATGGCGAGGAGATTGGAAGCATCTATACACCTGCTAACTATGATAACAATTATGGGTATGGCGAGGAGATTGGAGCATCTATACACCTGCTAACTATGATAACAATTATGGGTATGGCGAGGAGATTGGAAGCATCTACACATCTGCCAAATATAAAAAAACTATTATTGTTTGTCGTGGATATTTTTCTCAATGTCATACCTGGTCTCCAAAGTAAACATTTCGGCGAGCGGTGCGAAGTGTACAGGATCTTGAGCCACCTCGCACAGCAGCCTCTGTCTGCATTCTTCTTCTTCTACTTTAAGTGAAGAAAAATAATAGTCGAGTTTTGATAATTTCCTTTGCACTTCTTCCCTTGTGAGGCCGGCGTCTTTCTCCGTCGGTTTGTTCAACTGGAGCTCGAAAGTCTTCAACGGGATAAAATTTTCAGCCGATATGGGGGACCGGAAATTTGAGAAAATTTGTAAAGATGGACTAGCGGGATGATCTTTTTGTTGATAATCCGAAGGGCCTGGAAAATTAAATCATGTTTAGTTTTTATGCAAATTCACATCAATTCGAATAGAAAATGATTGGCATGAGGTTCAATGTATTTTTTATACAAATCAAACTGGTAAGCTTACGAGTGTTAACGGCATTTTGCTCAGCCACCCTTATATTATCTATTGAAACACAAAATTTTTGCTTCTAAAATTAATATTCTTGGAGTGATGCAGGGAAATGCGCTACTTTCACTTCTTTATCCACATATTATAACATAAAATTTTTATGTCACTCTCCGGGATCAAAAGTATTAAGTTAAATATTATACGTGAACTATTGACTACAGCAACCTAAGGACAGTACAGAGAACATTTTAAAGTTAAACGCAGCAGTAACCGTTAATGCAAGTCATTTTGCGGTCACTAGCAACGTACGTACAGTATATCCTTTTTGGGAAGTAAACAAATGACAATATTGCTCCCATTTTTCATCTTCGACTGATCATGGACGGAAGCAATGGTGAGCTATTTATTTATGCACGCTGTTCTTATGCATAAAAGTCATATGTTTGATATAATGAGTTAGTTGTATACGGTTTGTTCAACGTCAGTGCGAGGAACGACCAGGCGCTCCGCTGAACCTATTTTCGGTCACTTAGAGTGAACAACCTTCAAGAGATTTATCGTATGACATTTATGAGAAACAATATGATATATACCTGCATTTTCGGAAAAATTATCATTTTTAAATGATAACGTGCATACAATTTCGATTATTATTCCACGAAATACGTCTATGGGTCGTATAGAGAAGATACATAATTGGTATATATACCTAGAAAATCCATTCAAATTTGCACGCTCTATATTCCAAGATATTTGCAACCATGTTCATTCTAATTAAACGAACGGAAGCTTTCAAAATTAACTTAATATTAACTTAAACGGGTAATCCAAAATAAGGAAAACACCTTAAATTTTGATATCATAATTTTTAACATGTTATAAGCAATACAACATTGAAATATTTTAATGTTTTATTATTTATTAAGGCTGTTATTTGATATTTTGTATTTTTTCAGATATTTTTAGTATTTTGTGTGGCTGCAAACTTTCAAAAATGTCCTCTCAAAATCACACCTCTCTGATTCTGGAATAGGCCAAATTGTTGGTGCCCGTATAGCAGGTGCTAGTGTGATTGAAAATTCCCGAATGCTTGAAGTTACAAGAGGCATTCCTACTATTAATGACTGCCTTTGAAAAAAAGGAAAAACGTCCGCAACAAAGCACCGGTCTGGTCGAAAATGAAAGAGGCTATCGGCCTCTAAATCAAATTGTTATGGAAAATCGAAAGACCACGGTACTAAAAATTACCGCAAACCTCAACAGACACCTACAAAACTCAGTTTTTACAAAAATTGTTCGTCGGAAGCATCAAAAATCTGGTATCTATAGAAGAGCTGCCGCTGTATATCCATTCGTCTCAAAAATAAATGCTTTAATTCGTTTTGATTGGTGTAATAGCCCATAGAATCGGTCCCTTAAGTGTGCATAAATGTGATTTTCAGTGAAGAATAATCGTTTACTTTATTTCCGTCCCCTGACCAAGGGTACGTTTGGAGAGGGTTAAAAAGGCAAAAAGAGGGAATAATTGGGGTTTATCTGAATTGAGTTGAAGAAGGTTCAACTGAAGAATGAATGAAGCAATACCTCGCTGAATTGAGGCTGTAATGGCCGTGTAAGGTGGACCTACACCAAACTAAAATATATTTTGTGGATTTATAAGGCGATTCACTTATTTTAGCCAAACCCTAAAAAAGGCAGCAAACTTTCAAGCCATTGAATCTTGGTACTTGGTTCTTGGTATTTCGAATTACGGGTGGTAGAAAGCTGCATGTAATTTTGTTTGTACGAAACATTTCCGATAAGACTACAAATCAGTTTTAGAATAGATCTATAAGTACTATTTAACAAAATAAAATAATAATTTCTCGCCTTCAATGTCGTCAGGGATTTGCTTGATAAATCCCAGGATTTTTTTGGGCGTTGGTCGTTTTGGAGCTGAAGTCTTGCTTGAAAACAACGGTGCCACGAGACGATTCTTATGCTTTAGTCTGGGGTTTTTAACATAACTGTACTTGAACTTTTTGTATGGTTCTTCACGGCTTTCAGCATCGTCTGAAATTTTGTCAGTTTCAGTGGAACGCTTCCGTCTGGGTAAAATGTTGCCTCCGGAAAACATCCCCGGACGAAAGGGCTGTAGAACCGAGAAAAAATACTGAGGAAGTTGCTTGCTAAACCAACTTCCTAAGTCTTGGGTCTTTTCTGCTTTATTTGATACATGCGGTTGCGGTTCTACTTTTCCCGTCCCGTTGTCGGCACTTCTACTACCATTTGTATAGGTCTCTTTTATTTTTTGGTCATCTTTAGAATCTTGATTTGTTTCTACTGTTTTCTCAAAAATTTTTATGATGTCAGGTAAAGCCAGGTCAATTTCTTGTTCTTTTCTTATTTGAAAAGCAGGCGAAGAGTCATAACGATCAATTTCTTTTGGATCCATCTCGGAATTAGTGACAGTTTTATTGACTAAGATTGACTCAAGAGCTAATAAATCGTCTTCAGTGAGATCCATTTCTTCCTCATTAGACGACCTCCGAAGTCTCTCGTCATGGCCGTTGACATTCAGCATGTCTCCTTCAATTCGTTTCGCCTGTCTCATTTTCTTCAATCTATTGTTACTTGACCTAACTTTTTCTAGGAGCCTTAGAGGGTACTTGTTCTGGAATCGGAAGGGACGTTCAAAAGACTGCGGCTCATCTACGGCTTCTCTATTCTCTGGGTTATCCCTGCGCTCTTTGAGATCTTCGTAATGATAAAATTCGGCCCTCGGTCCTTCTTCTTTGGTCACCGAACTGAGATGCAGGTTAGAGCTTCGGTTTGTGAAATATTTTATGAATAAATTTGACACCTTATCACTTTTAGACTTCTTGCGAAGCTTTTTGACGTATTTCAAATCTATTTCTTCCAGCACAAAATCGTTCACTGAGGCCGGTATGTTCAAATTCATAGTGACGTTCTTCTCGTTCTTGTGCGGGCTGCTGCTGTTAGTTTTAACCTGAAATTGAATTAAGATGACATTAAAAAACAAGGCACACGACTCCTTAGGGAATCAGTCTTTACCCGCTGAGAAAAACAATACCAATTGAAATATATTAAACTGGCGATTCCGCCCAATATGGTCATGTAAAAATAGAATTCGTGCAAACGAGAAAACCTGGCTCAAGCACGCGGTCCTATAGTATCGTTATGGCTTGCACTCGTGCACTGCACGCATTGTTCATGAAAGCGTGAGTTTCAACAGGTAATGTTCCGAAGCTACACCTCTACTGATCGTATGGTGTCGTGGTATCTCCTCTTATGATTACCTACTGCTGAAGTGGGTGTGTATTCATGACTATACAGCTCTCCTGCTTTGAAAGTTGGTGTGGCTGCAAATATCAGACAACAGGTTCCTTCTTGTAAAAGTTGGTGTGGCTGCGTATACCAGACTACAGATTGCTTCCTATAAAAGTTGGTGTGGCTGCGTATATCAGACTACAGATTCCTTCCCATAAAAGTTGGTGTGGCTGCGTATATCAGACTAAAGATTCCTATCCATAAAAGTTTGTGTGGATGCGTAAATACCAGACTATATAGCTCCATTCTCCTAAAATTTTATGTGGCTGCGTATACCAGATTACATATTCCTTCCCATAAAAGTTGTGGTGGGTGCGTGTATATCATATTACTACTACTTCTTTCCCATAAAAGTTGATGTGGATGCGTAAATACCAAACTACAGCTTCAGTCCCTTTAAAGTCGATGTGGCTAATTATGCTACCATTTTCTCGACATAAATTTTCATGCAAATATATTTTCAACAAAAATAAATGCAGTAAGACGTGCATAATTGAAAGATGTGCGTAGCTAAAGAGTTTTCAGGTTTCTCATTTTTTGGGTTGAAGGTAGACTCTTCATTATACTCACTATTTATTTTTATTGTGTTTTCTATTATTTTGCTTAGGGAAAAGGAATCTTGCACAGTAACTGAATTTTTGCGTCGTGTTTCAAAGCTTATGGTTATCTATATAGGCATATTTGGAAACAAAATTAAAAATGTTAGAGAGCAAAATTCACCTTCAAGTTGTTGACAGAATCCGGCAGCCGGAAGCTCGATCCACTAGCAGAGGATGTGTTCCATGTTTCAAGCAATCTCCTGTCAAGTAGAAAAGATAAATTGGTTGAATTATTCGATTGGATGATGAAAATGTTCAAGTTAATTGGTAAATTAAATTAATTAATATCCCTTAAGAGAAAGGGAAACTCGTGCCTAAATTAATATAGAAATTTCTATTATGAATAATAAAACATTTATTGCAGTATTACGCTTCACTTTTAGTTATAATTTCAAGCAATTATGTAGTTGAATACTGTGGGTGCATTAATGTGAACAAAATTGAATACTCGCAAATTTCTTCAAAAAGAATACCGCTCTTTGTTTTTTACCGAAATTTGAAATTCCAATTTCCGACTCATTCATGATTGCGTGTTTCTGTGTTGCACAAAAGTTATTCAATATTATTATCTCCTTAAAAGTACATAAGAACTGAATAAAGCTGAGGTAGATGCGAGTGTCTAAAAATTGAAAAAAATGAAAAAAATTTAATTGACTGAAGATCCCTGCATAATTTAGTGAAAAATGTAAAATCCCTGTATAAATAAGCAAAAAAATTTATATATATACCGCCAAAAGTTCGTTAGAGTCAACAAATTCGATACTTACCTATATCCTGATAAACTTTCTAGGATGATCTTAGGATTTTTTTAGACACTAGCCCAAATACGCGTGACTTGGCGACCGATATTTTAGACGATCATGGCGAATATTTTTATAGGTTCTGCGTGTCATGCGCCGTTACATGGGCGGCATGCTAGGCTAATAACGTTTTAACAACCTAGTCACGATTATAACGGCCCTAATCGCTAATCGTTCACAAGACATCGTTAAATCTGCGCCACCGCCTACGATGATTGCGTCGCCAGACCGCAACATTCTGACGCCAACAGATCTATTAGACCGTGCTTAGGGTAGGAAGGAAAACTCGTCTCCTGATAATATCTTATCATATTTGAGCAAATTTTACTTTTAAATACGATCATTGAGAATTGGGAGTTAAAACTTCAACAGATCTTCAGTGCGAAACCTGCCAAATGCATAAGCTTCAAGCTATCAAATTTAGATCAGAATTATCGTGAGGCGACTTGGGCATAAATATAGTGAGCTTTCAACTTAAATCAATTCAATATAAATCTCGGGAGAATTAACACAAAATCGTATTAATGTGATGTTTCTTAGTACTCATAAAAGGCCATAGCCTTTTTAATTGAATCTTGAGCAATTTATCGTTTTTATTTGTATTTAGTAATTTGCCTCGTCGGCAAATGACTGTCAGCGGTTTCGACAGCTTAATTGTAAGGTGCTAAATGGATGTCAAAAGCAGTAGCAAATAAAAAACAAATGACCTGAATATGTAGCAAACAGTTCAAGCGTTGGCCGTAATAAAACCCGGATGACAAACAAGCATAAAAAAAATTAGTTGCAATCGGACAGCTCAAGATTGATAAGCCAAACCTGGTTGCAAATTTAATCATGCGGACGAGTGACGTCTCGGTATGAAATGAGTACGCAAATTCTAGATTGTTTAGTTTATGACAGGCTGAGTAATGTGTCACAAGTGTAGTTTAAACAACGCGAAAATTTGCGAACATAGTTAATTGTCATTCCTGCGAAACATGACTATAGGTCTTTATTTTTTGCTATGATTGCGGCAAATACTTTGCTTATGTTTTGTTCACAAATTAGAAATAATTCGTAACGAATTATTGTTAATGTGATATTTTTTTAAAGCTGGGAGCTTTCATTGGATTACGAGTTCGATTGTCGCAGGCTCATCTATTTCACACCTACATACCTTTATAACACAGACACCACATATATTATCTTAATATTTAAAACAGAAAACTTATTGCAGAATTGCATGTACATCCATCCCTGTTATTGCATCTAACTACCACTTGAAACTGATTTTAAAACTAATATTTCTACTTAAACTTACTTATTCAATGTTAAAATTGGCACCAAAGACTATCGCGGAAGAGCAGCGGTCGTTTATTTAAGAAAATTATTGTAATTGCGTTACAGTTTCAATGACATAAAAATCTTCTTCTAAGTAATTCAGTACTTAGAGTAATTCAACGTATTACAAGGAAAAAAACGGGATCTTGCGCTAAACCGCGAACAAATCCAGCGAAGCGTTGACTCTACTGTATAATATACGAATGTCTCCACATGATGTTCGTGACGAGCCGTTGAGTTCTGTTATTTATTATAGACCAATTTAAACCATTCATGTGAATCCGCAGACCTCAACTTACTTGCATATAACGGGATTTAAACTTATTATCAGAGACCAACATTCTGCAGTAGACGATTGTTCAATGTTATTTATTATAGACCAATTTAAATCATTCATGTGAATCCGCAGACCTCAACTTACTTGCATATAACGGGATTTAAATTTATCATCAGAGACCAACATTCTTTAGCAGACGATTGTTGAATTAGATTAACGTACGCCTGAAAACGTTTTAAATAATTCAACAAATTCACAGGGCATATGATGTACGGCAAGATATTGAATGATACTTCAAAGAGGCTTGAATTATTTTAAAAGAATCACAATGTTTTTCTAGCCTGTCTCGAAGAAAGTTTCCTGTCCAAAGTTTTCCAACAAATTTAAATCGGAATCAATTGTTTCAGTACAATTTCAAAAACTCCATCACAATTTAATCGCCTGTTTTTCTATAATACGAAAATGTTCCACTCGCATTGCCTTCATTTGAGCGTCGTTATTTTAATGATGTGCTTGCCTGCAAATTTTCTAGACACTCTACTCATCTGATAATTTTGAACTAAAAATTCATTATTGTTTCAAATCGCGTTGTCAAGCAAATTTCTGATGTTCTGAAATGTTTAATATGAATTTACTTGGATTTCAAATTCTATATCCGGATCAAACGCAGCGATTTGTCAAATTCAAAACAAATGTTTACAAAGATTTTTGGAGGCAAAACGCCCGGTTCTCTTCCACGGCGGCGTAGGGGGCCACACACATTATGTAGAGCCCGTGGCCCCACGAAGCAGGGCCCGTGACCAACACTATATAGGGGCTGTCTCTTATACACATCTAGATGTGTATAAGAGACAGCTCCTAGGCAGGCGCACTCATATGAGAGCACATCTCCTAGGCAGGCGCACTCATATGAGAGCCCATCTCCTAGGCAGGCGCACTCATATGAGAGCACATCTCCTAGGCAGGCGCACTCATATGAGCACATCTCCTAGGCAGGCGCACTCATATGAGCACATCTCGTGGGTATGAGCACTCATATGAGCACATCTCGTGGGTATGAGCACTCATATGAGCACATCTCCTAGGCAGGCGCACTCATATGAGCACATCTCGTGGGTATGAGCACTCATATGAGCACATCTCCTAGGCAGGCGCACTCATATGAGCACATCTCCTAGGCAGGCGCACTCATACCGCTAAACCGCATTGAGGTTCTTCGATCTGCTTTCATTAATGACTTTAATAAAATTGCTCATGTAAAATAAAATTGTATATGTAAAATAAATGGAATTATACCAAGAAACAAAAAACGGCGATGCAGCCGTAATTACAAAGATGCCACAACCTCACGAAACGAACTCCGTAAGATGAGCGGAAACCGAGAGATCGAGCGGGAGAGATTGCATGCCCTGGAAATTGTGCTGCAGATCACTTGCATTGATCTATAGATGATGCCTGCGATCCGGCGCTCTCGCTGCCCAATTATTTCTGCGAACATTTTCCGGTTTCCGACCTGAGCCGTAAAATGCCGAGCATTAAATTCGCGCGCCGCGTTCGGAGCAACACATCCGGCATCAGAACTGAAGGAGGGACTGGGGCAAGGGCGGTAGGTGAGAAGGGGTATGGTGAAGTGTATAGGAAGGGAGAGTAGGTACGAGGCAGACTTCCTGTAGCAGGGAACGCAGAGATTGTAAACATATATGTTTTTTTCTACGTGGGTTTTGAATGTTATTGTGAAGTAGAAGAGTATTGTTTTATTTGCAAATTCGTATTATTCGCGTTCAAAATCTAGCGTTAGTCATAAAACGTAGTATGAATCTAATTTAATGTGAATCTACTTATTTCATATCTAGTAAAATCTTCATTGGAAACAAGCCAAACATAGGAGCGGAAATTAAAATGCAACATGCCAATCTCTCTAGGACCGGTAAACATTTTTAACTGCCATCAAAATGTCGAGCAAAAGACGCACGTTTCCTGCGATGTGGAGTATGGTTTTCTCCAAGAACTTCCTTGCATTGTTGCACTGTCGTCTGTTGCTATGCCCGCTGCCTTCAGTCCTGTACAAATAAATATCCCTCTTCACTTTCTCTGAGCGCCCCCTACAGCGTCACAGCTCTCACATCAAGAGAAAAGTAGAATACTTTCTTGTGCATAAAAAGAGGTCTAGAAACATCTCCTGTGTTTTTATTATTTATCAACTATCAGAGAAAGCCACCATTGCAATTTGGAATTGCATCAAATTATTATTAGTTGAAAATAGGCTGCTCATGATGGTTCATCATCGTCATAAATCATCACTGCTGTTGTGGTTAACTTTTTGGCTATTCACTGTCTTGAAAATCAATCAATAATTATTCGATAGGTTATCGATGCATATTTTTTTAATCTCGCACGGTATCTAGGAAACTGCCATGTAGAGTTCAATTAGATCCTCAAAAAATAGAAGTCATTGTAATTATTTCTATTAAAATTGTATCTGTGCCTACATGCTTCAGAAATGGGACATAACCCATTTTGAAACTCGCGTCCGATGAACGCCTGATTACCCTGGCATACGTAAAAAAAATTACCCTAACCCCAACCTCGCCTTTAGGGTTACCTCGTCAAATTCGGTTACCTGCCGCGCACAATTTCCCAACTATTTGGGGTTACCTCGTCACACTGGTTTACCTCTACACATAATTTCCCGACAACACAGGGTTACCAACACACTTAGGGTTACTCAGGCACATCGGGTTACCTGCCACGCTAAATTACCCTACTATACATGTAGTTACCGCGTCCTAACCAGCGGCTGTGGTCAATACAGGACATGTGAGATGTGGATTGCAATGATTGCAGGCTTGCTAGTGGGAGTAACAGCGGCCTGGATTGATAATAAAAATAATGCAAAACAATCATTTGCGTGTGAAAGCTGAAAGAAATACAGAAGGCAATGGAAATATCCTTGATGTGTCGAGAATAGAAAGTGAAATGAAATTAACCGACCCAAATATATATTCTTGTTTTCCTGTTTCAATATAACTCATTTGCATTTTTTATTTTGAAAATCACCGGTAACTCTGCTATGTCTGTTACGTTGCTACGCCGGTAACGCTGCTACGTCGATAACGCTGCTACGTCGGTAACGCTGCTACGTCGATAACGCTGCTACGTCGGTAACGCTGCTACGCCGGTAACGCTGCTACGCCGGTAACGCTGCTACGTCGGACTTCACTTGTAATCGCTAACATGACAAAGATAACCGTTTAAGGGTCGATTCATGTCTTTAATTTTCATAAGCACAAATAATTACAATTTTCTCTGAAATTATCTCATTTTTTCCTCGGGTGGCTTCAAAAATTCCAGGAGTCAATGGTCCAAACTTGCCCCGATGCGTACACTCACAATAAAACCGGTAATTTAGGTATTAGTAAAGAACCATTATCCTATTCGATGGTCGTTATCAAGCCATCATCCATCAAATTGAGGACCATGATAAGTTCCGCCAGTACGCAGCTGTGGCATAAATCTATGAGGGTGAGGATTGGCTAATTGGACACATGTTTCAATTAGCAGGAGGCAGCCACGGGAGCAGGGGAGTGGGGGCAGCTGCAAGCCAAACGACTTCCTTGAGATCTTTGTTCACCCGCGAGCTGCCTTCAGCGGGTGGGAGATGAGTGATGGATTGTCTTCACCGGGTGGGAGATGAGTGATGGATTGTCTTCACCGGGTGGGGGATTAGTGAGGGATTGTGAAGTCGCCCACCCTCTACTCACTCCCGAACAGAAGTCGCCCACCCTCTACTCACTCCCGAACAGAAGTCGCCCACCCTCTACTCACTCCCCTTGACTTCAGCAGGTGGGAGATGAGTGAGGATTAGAGGACAGTCTACATTAGTCCTCTAATCCTCATGTACCTTGACGGTAATATTCAGTAGTGGGCCTCTAGACAGAAATAACATAAGAAACTTAAACGTATGCACGTAAGTGGTTAAACGTTCATGCAAGTTGTGTTGGACGTTTCCGCCGCTTAAAGTACAGCAGTCATCGGCGTATAGTTTGTAGCAGCACGCGTCCCGGTCGTCAGATCAGCCTGCAGAGGGCGTGAGTTGCGTAGTTCGCAAGAGAAAGCGTAACAAAAGCGCAGAGAGAAGCGGATCATAGCGTTGAACGTCGTCACAAGTGCACTGCTGGCAAATGAACGAACCTTTTGATCACGTGCAGCTCCTGCGCTCTCGTATGAAGATCACTGCTTTGTTAGGGATCACAAATCGGGCGTTAATCCGGCACCGGTGAGAGTAGCATGCACTTGTTGTAGAATATGCACGATATTAATTCATTCTGAGAAAAACATTAAAGTAAATCAAGTTAATGATCAAAATTGTCTGAGATGCAAGTTAAAAAACCATTAGCATCAGTAATACTTCGCAGGCATTTATTCTGAATTTACATCAGTGTGATGCCATAGAGGAAATTGTGTCAACAAGGCATACGAAAAATTGATCACTTGCAATAATGCCTCGCAAGGAACTGGTTCACGACACGCATGACAGAGCCTTGGGTCCACATGCCTCGAGGCAGAACTTTTCGCTCCTGCCATCCATAGATTTTTATCTCACTCCTTTGTTTGAATCGTAGACTCCATAATTATAACCTAAATAACATGCAGTGAGTGACGTGTGGTCAATTATGACCCTTTTTACTGGATCTGATGATGGCTTGATTGGTCCAACCAGAAACCAATTTCTCCTCGAGTTCTTTCATGCAACTGAATGCATGCATGAGTTCACATGATATTAGTGATGACGTCCAAGCCTTCATTAATAACTAATAGATATACTGCCCCAAATCAAGCATGATTTTTAATACAAAAAAATATACAGGATTTTTTATTAAAATTATAATTTAAGTGAGGCCTGTACTGCATTTAATGAGATAAGTGAAACAATGATTAGGCAATACTTTTTTTATTGTCTGAAAGCGCCACATGTTTTTTACATGTCATTTAAACATCATCTACACAAATTATCTTTTCAACATTATCTAAACAACAACGCATACAAGATATACAAATGATTATTAGTTTTAACGTTCAAAGTATAACGGAACGAGTAACGTTGATCTCTCCATGCACGACTTCCTCTACCTGTGCTGCAACGCCAAATAGCGTACTTTGGACTCTAGAAAATACGAGTACTTTTAAAATTGGAATGCACAAGTGGTTAATTCATTTGCCTACGTGTAATAGACGTACTTCTCTTCTGATTTTGTACTTATTACTTTCAGAAAACTCAGTCTACGTTAAAATGGTATCTATTCAGAATGCGGTTTTATAGAAATGCCATCCTGTTATGGTTTTGTCCGACAATTTAATAAGAAATCTTCTTAGGAAAAACTCTCAAATCTTCTCAGACGATCGCTTTGAATGGGCTTCAGGAACCCAGGTTTGATTGTGTCGGCACATCATTTCTCTCACAGTCGGAAACTCGGTCATCGTCTCTCAATGAAACGATGCTGCTGAGTGACTTTTTCGTCAAGAGAGCGCATTTCTTGGCTCAGTTTTGTATATTAATGCGGATTGCGCAATGTGTGTAATTACATTTTCATACAGTGACATAGAACCATGCATCTGCGTTACTTATTGTTTACCCGTTTGACGTAATCTATATACTTATACGTAGTGCGTCGTAGAAGGAACAATTCTATAAAATTAATTAACGGAATAATTATCTAAAGTTACTCCATCTAATATACTTATTGTTTACCCGGCCGTTCGATGTAAGCCAGATTGCGTTTGTCGTAGTCTCAGAGTCCGCCTCAGTCATGTTTACTATATACTGTAGCTGCAAACTTCTCTACTTTTAATTTCAAATTTATGGAATGAAGAAAATGAGCTCGAAAAGTTTTCCCTGTGTATCATTCAGCATTGTTTACAACGGCATTTTGTTTGCAATGAAAGCCCATTATTTGGTTATATTTCTCAACTGAAATTAATAAAATGTTACGGTTGAATATATTTCCTCACGTAAGCATTTTTTTTAATTACTATTGTGAACCGCGTTATTCTGAAAGGGCAAATACCAAACTAATTTAATTGTACTGTTTCTTTTTGATAATTTTGTCGAATAATTCACTTCGATGAACTCCGGTTGTGGTTGCATTTGAAACAGCATAAAATTCGTCCCGATTTACTTTTCTTCATTGAGGCCGCTTTCCTCTTTTTGATTCTTTTTTTTATTTTTTTTTAGACTTGAACGTGAAATGTTTTGGTAGCACCGAATAGCGAGATCGTGGGAGACGGGCTTATGTGTGAAGTTTCTTGCTTGCTATGCTTCCTAGCGATGGAGCCCCCACTGCCAACACATTACCTGTGGCTTGTCAACAGTGGCTCATTTGTTTATTAGGACAATTGAACTTAAGAAAAATAATAAAATTTCAAATTCAAGTTAGTTAGCGATATAAATTTTTCCTGATTTCAGCATCGCAAACTATTATATGAGATCAGAGATAGAAGGTTATTGGCTCATTGTTTCTAATCTTTAGAATGCAAATTAGAATATGGTACCCGAGCCTTTCCTACAAGAGATTCAAAATTATTCATCCTCTCACCTGAACTCCACATTAACATAACTGGATTTTGAAAATGATCTAATTATTTTGATTTGTAACCGAAGGGTATTGATTGAATTATTGATATTCGTGCGTGATTTAATAGAGTAGACAGTTTGGTTACGCTGAATTGATCCACAAATGACTCTGATGGAGTCTAATATATTATATTGAAAATATAAGAAGCTCTAAAACATTCAATGCCTTACTCCATGCTTCAATTTTCAAATAAATTATTATCGAGAACTTAAAATCATATATATTGCAATGCATCCATAGCACCTTTAATTAATTTAAACAAATATTAATTATACCAATAAAAGTAAGTAGCACATTTAACCTAGCAAAAAATTATCGTAAAGTACCAACCTGTCGGTAAACTGCGTGTACTCCTTAGCGACTTTATCGTCACTCAAGTTTGGCATCTTGGCAGTCCGGGCGGCGTCCGAGAACACGACACTGAGCAACAACAGCAACACTGAACACCTTGTCCCACGCATCATATCCTCGCTATCGTAATGATTGATTTCAGGAGCAAAAATAGTTCTCGTCGTAGGCTTGGATATGTTAGTTGTCCCTGTCACTAAAAATAAGTTATGAAGCAAAAATAGTTCTTGTCGTAGGCTTGGATATGTTAGTTGTCCCTGTCACTAAAAATAAGTTATGAAGCAAAAATAGTTCTCGTCGTAGGCTTGGATATGTTAGTTGTCCCTGTCACTAAAAATAAGTTATGAAGCAAAAATAGTTCTTGTCGTAGGCTTGGAGATGTTAGTTGTCCCTGTCACTAAAAATAAGTTATGAAGCAAAAATAGTTCTTGTCGTAGGCTTGGAGATGTTTGTTGTCCCTGTCACTAAAAATAAGTTATGAAGCTGAGCCCTGTGCAGATACAGGCAGTGGTTTTATCCATAATACTTCCAAGTTTAATGCGTAAAGAGTTTTGTACTTTGCGTAGACAATTTTATGGGTTGTTGTTTTCCGACGAGTTTGTTAAGTATAAAGTTCACCTCTGATGCACGATTATATTACATATAATTATTATTAGCATTGCACTCATAGTTTGCGATTGGTGAAGATTTTTTAGGATTTCAAACGTATATTTCTGGACTAGTGATTCATTTTGAGGCCTCGAGGCAAGAAGCAAAATTTGAGTTACATTTTAGGTAGAAAGCAGCGACAAGCTTATCAAAGTGCAGCAAGGTTAAACTTTCTACCATCATTAAGGAACAGTAAAGGTTGTCTTTCAATCCCTGCATAAACAGCAGGTCTTTTTGTCAACGTATTAGACTGTTTAGTTAACTGTACAGCAAATAACACTGCACTACAAACATTAAGCAGAGGAAAACATTTGCGTTAATTTTTATTAATATTCATAGATGTTAACGCTAGTGATGTTAATTGTCTATTTATTTTAATTTTTTATCTCTAGTCTTTTAGATTCAGGAGTAATCAAATCATTGTTTTATCCTTTTTGGATCAAACTGTATTTATCGTTGACGAGACCAATAGGCTTTATATCGGAGGTGAAAGGAAAAGGTTGAGTAGAAGTATAACAATATAATAGCCTCGTGCATAGTCTCGACGCGCTGGAGAAATGCAGAAATGCGCGCTGAAATTTTTTAAGAATGCAATGTATTTCAAACAAAGTTTGACGCGTAACTCATTATGAAAGAGAATTCATCGTAACTCATTAAGAATTCATCGTAAATCATCATGCATCGTAACTCATCACCTACAAAAAATCTTTAGCACACTGTGCAGTGAGCGCATACTTCTAAGCGTTATCATTAGAGGAGGGGTTGAGTACGGTTAGTAACTGTGATAGTCCTGTTATAGCACCTCAGCGCCGGTTGTTTAAATGCTATCTCTACAATAGCGATGTAACAGTCGTCATGTTCGTGAAGATACGTGGTAACACGGCGTCATAAAGCCAGAGGTGACCTGTAGCTCACACAGGTGCTGTAATGAGTCCATTGTTTCACTCGCCTGCGGCTATGGCAGGAGTGCCCTTATAGGCGCTAGAATTTGCATAGCAAATTTTGCGGCGTCCATGCGAAAATTTAACGACGAGTGTTGAATTAAATTGAATTATGTGTCTATTTTAGTCAAAAGGTGAAATAGCAAAAATTTGAACATAATCGCACGCTCTTTAGCGCATTTTCTCATTTATTAAAAAAATGCACTATTGTGCTCGCCATGTCCGTCTGTCCGTTCGTCTGTCCGTCTGTCAGTCCGTCTGTCTGTCCATCTGTCTGTCCGTCCGTGACTTCATGTTTTCGTCGACGAGAAAATGCGCTTTCTGTCACATACTGCAGCAGTGAGTAATGAGTTATATTTTTTACTGATTTGGTTGATAAACTTGATTTAACTTTGCTGTCCGGAAGTGGATTGGCAGTATTTTACACAGCTTTCTGCAAGCCCCTAATCTTGTTCATCATTTGCAATTCTCTAATTTGTTCGTTGAATTAGAAGTACTGCTGCATAGAAAGAAAAAGAAAGTCCCCGTGCACCAATTGAAGAAATTGAATCGCACTGAAGTAATTACGGTCTCAGTTAATTAAGTGCGTGGTGGCCAATTGGGATCATCAAGGCAGGCAAACTTCTACTCAGTAAAATGAGCGAGGCTTGGTCCGAATATAGATGAACTTTCTGTCTTGTGTGGGTCACCATGACCTAGTTTTCCATTGGTAAAAAGGTGTATCAGTGCTACGTGCAGAATACGTGTCACTATTTGGACAACGTGACCCATTTATTTTCTGAGTATGCCGAGATAATGGCGTGAAGTTTGGCTGCTGTTTACTGGTGCGCAGTCAAGTAAGTGAAATAAAATGACGTTAATTGAACTTTTTCCGTAAAAATTGGTACATAATTGTACGCTTTGATGCCTGTTGATCGGAATTAGTTTGCACTGACACGGGAACAATTAATGTGAAGCGTAACTCGAAACATAAAGTAGTAAATCTTATGTCTGAATGAGCGTTCAAATGAAACTACGAAAACCAAAGAAAGAAATTGAACACTGTTATAGCAAATCAACTATTTTCAATAGTACCCCAGTCGTTCTTATAATCACTATGTTATATAACGATCTATAGATCATAATAATTACTTCTCACATAATCGTTGTACTGTCGATTACATGCGTTATTTTCGAGCATTTGCACTAGAATTACCTTCTATTCTGATATCAAGTGAAAGGAGGAAGACATGAGCGTGAAATACAGGTTACAAAATCACACTATTATCTGCTTCATTATCGCATTGTTCGCTCGCACAAAACGCTTCATCATGCAAGCTCCAACAACCAATATCTGCTATTGCAACATCGTAATTTTGGCACGCTATACGTACACAGAGCGAAATTAGAAATTTATCAGCCAGTTCATTGAAAATATCTTATTTCCAATACATTTTTAATCAAATTTTATGTGACCGAAATACTTTTATTATGCAGAATATTTCTCGTAATTATCAGTCGGTTTATTAGGAATATGTTTTATGTGTCTGTGCCGTGGTATATTCCTACCTTTGGTACAAACAACGATCGCAATCTGACAACATCTTTCCTGGCACTAATAGTTGCCATTGCATACTTTTTTGTATTCACGAGCAATGATTGGTCATCTTTTTGATTTGGCAGTGATATTTCTTCGGAATAGTTCAAGTTAATAATATATATACAAAATATTTGTATTTTTATTTTATTCTTTTGTGAATTTTTTATTTACTTCTTTTTAGCGTATTTTCTCATTTATGCAAAAAGGCTCTATTGTGCTCTTCATGTCCGTCCGTCCGTCTGTCGGTCCGTCTGTCTGTCCGTGACTTCACGGACGGACGGACAAGAAAATGCGCTCTCTGTCACTCACTGCAGTGAGTACTGAGTTATATTTTTTGTGATTATTGTAGGTTTATGTGTAATATAAGGGATGTTTAATTGGGCGCGTATCCCAGATATTGTGTCGGGATATTACCTGCTCCTGAAATTCTATTCTTAGTGGATTTAATGAGGATTTATTAAAGGATTGAAATTAAAGGATTGAAGGATGAGGAAGGAAGGATTAGGAGAGAGTGAGGACAGGATTGGACAAAAGATTAAAATTCAATTTTGCAATCGGGTAATATAATAAGATTGAGAGTCCTATCTTCTCTGTAAAATACGAACCAACCTGCTAGTTATAAATGAAATTCTATCATTGCCAGACACCTTTGAACTCATGGCATTTTTCGTTGTTCAGAAAAGTGAACTGATTCTCAAGTTGTAAGTGGACGGTTGCCTCAAGGTGCCAATTAATTGATTATTAAAATAGCCTCACGTATTGTCAAGACGCGCGCGGAAGGTCAAATTTGTAGTTTTCGATAGGGCATATTTGTTTAATTTATATCAGAGTTTAGAGCACTAAAATATTATATATTATTATATAGGCTGAATTTGCTAACCATCACATGAAAACGAGTTCAAATTTGGGGTTTATACGCTTCTACTCTAGCAGGATGATGGGCAATGATGATGCAATTGAAGACGTTCATTTGACAGAAAAAGATTCACATATAGCATCCTCCAATTTACATGATATCAAATTATTCCATGGAACCTATTTGATTTGTGTGCAATTATTAATCATTTTCATAAAACCAAACGCATTTTGATAAGCTGGGGATTGCTTTCTATTGGTCGTTGAGCTCACCATAAACTTTTTTTTAATATGCTTTTCAACATTTTATAATGATATTTATGATAATGTGTGGGTGTTCAACCAATTGCTTTGCTTCGGTGTCTATCAATAAAACTTTTCAATCTTATTAGAACCCACATCACAAGCTTGGCTTCTTAAATCTTAAAATGTATTCTCAATATTCGTAGAATAAATTAATTAAACCAATTTTTTGTACTAAATCCAAGCATGGGAGAAAAGGCTTTATGATGACACATGCAATTGTCTATATCTCTAGCTTATTGCAACCACACACAACACTCGTGCATGTATACTATAAATGATTGCTGCATACAACAAACTGATACAAAATCGAATCGATTCATTTCCCACTAAGGTTCTTTGTAAAACTTACGAAAAAGCACGTATTTGGTATGAATATTACTGCCAATATTGTCGAATAGAATACTTTAATTTGTATCAATCAAAAGCGAATGAATCTAAACTGTTTTTCTGCTCCATCAAGCAATAAATCATTTTTATTTGGAAGTATCATGTATGTTTCTAATAAAAAATGTTCGCCTGCTCTGGTCCAAGTCACGAATAGAATATCGCTCGCACGTTGCAACCCTCCTTCGATGACGGCCCGACGCACACTGACAAAGACTGAGTTTGAAGGCAAAGTGTGAAGAGTTGGCAACAGGTTACAGGTTCTACAGTTACCCCCATACGGGTTATAATGAATCACGAGAACATTGAGGATCAACAGTAAAATTGCTACCCTCTAAGAAATCATGTTTAACGATTCAATCATTTTATAAGTCATAATCCTCACAATTTAACAGAAATGTATATACAAAAAAAACTTTTTTGGAATAAATGTTTGATGGATATGTACTGTATTGAAATTGGCTGCTTCACTTTATTTTTTTATAAATCGTATTCAGTAAAATGTTAATGAATATAATTCATAACTCCATGGGTATAAGCCCACAATACTTTTGACCTGGAAGCCGATGACACATCGTGACTTCAAATGCTCATTGAGACGAGATGACAATAGTGAGCGCGGTACGCTTCTGATGCCGTTATGTTGTGAACAATGGGAAAACTTCGTTTTTTTTTCTTTGAAAAGGCATTCGAAATTTAGATGCCATATGCTAAATTG